AGAAGCAATGAGAATTTGAAGCTAGCTTGAGGTAGACAGCAAGACCCTGTCTTAAAAACAACAACAACAAAAAACTAACCAAAAAGCCAAGCAAAGGAAAAACTAAGGGACTTTGGATTGAAACACTATGTACCCATCTTCTAGCCTACCTGGGCACTAAGAGGCAACCATCTTTACCAGTTTACTGTGTCTAAGCATGTTATGTATCTACAGCTGTAGTTTTTAAAAATGTATGCAAGGCTGGAATTGTGGCTTAGTGATAGCCTAGCAAGTGCCCAGCAGGCATTAAGCCCTGGGTTCGATTCCTCAGTACCACATAAACAGAAATAGCCGGAAGTGGTGCTGTAGCTCAAGTGGTAGAGCACTAGCCTTAAGCAAAAGAAGCTTAGGGACAGTGCCCAGGCCATTAGTTCAAGCCCCAGGACTGGGGGAAAAATGTATGCAATTTGTAATATATTGTCCCCAATGCAGTCATTTGATCTTTTGTGTGTGTGTGTGTGTGTGTGTGTGTGTGTGTGTGAGTGTGTACTGGGGCTACTTGCTTTCATTTGGTTTTTCCTTTCTACCACTTGAGACATAGATCTATTTCTGGCTTTTTGTTGGTTAATTGAAAATAAGAGTTTCACAGCCTTTCCTGTCTGGACTAGCTTTGAACCTCAGTCCCTAGATCTCAGCCTCCTTTGTTGCTAGGATTACAGGTGTGGGCCATTAGCTCCTGGCTCTGCTTTCCTTTTCTTTTTGGTCAGTCATGGGGTTTGAACTCTGGGCCTGGGCGCTGTCCCTAGCTCTTTAGCTAGGAAGGGCTTCATGCATGCTAGGCAAGCACTCTACCACTAAACCATATTCCTAGTCTCCCACCAGAGTCTCTGAGCTCAGGAACTGTGGGGCTGGGCTTGCTGCAGAGTCCCAACTACCTAGCAGAGGGCAGGCACTCTGAATGTGAAGGAACACAAAGCTCCGCTCATGTGCATGCATATTTTTCTTTTTGATTTTTAAAAACTGAATTAAGGGGCTGGGAAGGTGGCTCAGTGGTAGAGCTCTTGCCTTGCATGCCTGAGGCCCTGGGTTCGATTCCTTAGCACCACATAAGCAAAAGGAAAAGAACCAGAAGTGGCGCTGTGGCTCAAGTTGTAGAGCACTAGCCTTGAGATGAAGAGCTGAGGGACAGCGCCCAGGCCCAGAGTTCAGGCCCCACAACCAGACCAAAAAAAAAAAAAAATTGAATTAAAATTTTTTTCAGTTGTAGGGATTGAACTCTGGGCCTGGGTGCTGTCCCTGAGTTCTTCAGCTCAAGGTGAGTGTTCTACCACTTGAGCCACAGCACCATTTCCCATTTTCTGGTAGTTAATTGGAGATGAGAGTCTTATGGATTCTCCTGTCGGGGCTGGCTTTGAACTGTGATCCTCAGATCTCAGCCTCCTGAGTAGCTAGGATTACAGGTATGAGCCACCAGTGCCTGGCTGAATTAATTTTATGTGCATTTTTCCAAAGAGAGAGGCCCACAGTATTAAGCAATTTCAGGAGGATTGTCTACCACACCCAAGGGTGCCCTAACTCTTCCACTGGGAGCCATGTTGACCAATAACTTTCAAAGAGTTACTACTTAGTTGACCTGATGATTAATCTGTACATTTGAGCCTCTAGGGGCACTCCATATTAAAAAACCATTTTTTTGGGTACATTACTGGGGCTTGAACTCAAAGGTGATGTCCCTTGTTCACTGAGGGCTGGCACCTCACCATTTGAGCCAGAGTTCTACGTCCTACTTTTTGCTGGTTAATTGGAGATAAGTGTCTTATAGACCCTTATCTTCCTACATGGGCTGACTTTGAACCATGATCCTCAGATCTCAGTCTCCTGAATAGCTAGGATTACAGATGTGAGTCACTGGTGCTTAGCTAGTCTCTTTATACTTAATGTAATAGGTGCTTAAAAACTGCCTTTTCAAAAAGCCCAGATTCCCTAGTGGGGCCCGTGGATTAAAGCTTGGTGTTCTTGTCTCCCTCTTCTACCTACAGGCTTTGTTTTTATTTTTTTGCCAGTCCTGGGACTTGAACTCAGGGCCTTGGCACTGTCTCTATGCTTCTTTTGCTGAAGGCTAGCACTCTACTACTTGAGCCACAGCACCACTTTTTCTGTGTATCTGGTACTGAGGAATCAAACCCAGGGCTTCATGCATGCTAGGCAAACACTCTGCCACTAAGCCATACTCCCAGCCCTACTATATGGCCTTTGCCTGAGCCATTTTCTCTTGCAGTCAGTCATTTGGCAGACATTTGGAAGTAGGAAGTAAGGAGTGGAAAGGAGACCAGAACACCTGAAAGGTGTCAATGACTTATTTAACAAGGAGGACAGGTAGCCTCTAGGTCCTCCCCTAGATCCAGAGGTGGCTCTCCCTTGTAGAATTTTTATTGTTTCATGACTCATACCTTCCCAGCTAGTGTGGAAACTTCCCAAGGGCCAAGGACTTTTTTTTTCTAGAACCATATGTTAAAATATCAGGTGCCCTTAGGTCATGCCTGTAATCCTAACTACTCAGGAGGCTAGGAGATCTGAGGATTGAGGTTTGGAGCCAGTCTGGGCAGGAAAGTGTATGAAACACTTATCTCCAATCAACCATCTGGAATGGAGCTGTGGCTCAAGTGGTATAGTGCTAGGCTGGAGTAAAACAACTCAGGGAGAAGACTTAGGCCCTGAGTTCAAGCCCTAGTGTACACACACACACACACACACACACAAATGCACGCTTCAGTTCTGGGCTCAAGTCTCAACTCTGCCACCTACTGGTGGCAGAAACATTACTTAACTTCTATGTGGCTTCCTTTTAAAGGGGAGAATGAGATCTACACTGTGTGGTCGGAAGGATAGCAAGAAACAATGCCTGTGATGTTGAGTGGGGAACCTAGCTACCCCACAAATACTCACTGGGTGCCCTTTATATGGCAGGTGTTGTCTAGGGGCAAGAAGTAAGGTATTCTGTGGTTTTGTGTCTGTGGTAGCACAGAGCAAGGGCATTAAATATCCTGTTTGTGACTCTGTGTGGGGCTGCTGGGGTGGCCTGGCCTGTCAGGCCAGAGAACAGAGAACAGAGAAGAAATTGGGCTGAGCACTGGTGGCTTACCCCTGTCATCCTAGCTACTCAGGAAGCTGAGATCTGAAAATGGAGGTTTGAAGCCAGCCTAGGCAGACAAAACTGAGACACTCTTATTTCCAATGTAATAGCAAGAAGCTGGAAGTAGAGGTGTGGCTCTGGTGGTAGAGCCTCAGCCTTGAGCCTAAAAGTTAAGCAAGTGCAAGCGCTCCTGAGTTCAATTTCCAGTACTGGTTACACATGCATGCATGTGTATGTACACACACACACACATACACAGATTAGAAATCTTGAGTTGTGATCAGTGCCCTTTAAGGGGATACAGAAGGGATGGAAGTGGGGCAGATATGAGTGGGAAGGGTCAGCCTTCTTGCTAAGGATGAACAGCTGAGATCTCCTTCCTCCTTTCTTCTCTCTCAGACAATAGGAGCCCCTTCTCTGGAATGACCATCTGGGAGAGTAGGTGTTAGGCTGTGGCTCAGTGGCACTGCTCTGCAGGGCCCTACACACACCCCCTCTAGTGGCCACAGTGCAGGCCAGGTACTAGGCTGTACAGATCCTGGGAAGCCAAAGACGATGATGACTATTATTATATTTCCTTTCCTAACACTGTGTACGTGGATGCAGCTTTAAATGACTATTATTTGTGTTGGTACCAGGGCTTTAATGAACTCAGGGCGTGGGCACAGTCCCTTAGCTTTTTTACTCAAGGCTGGCACTCTACCACTTGAACCACAGCTCCATTTCTGGCTTTTTTTTTTGCTGGTCTCACAGATACTCATAGACTATCCTGCCCAAACTGGCTTTGAACTGTGATCCTCAGATCTCCTCAGCCAATGGAATAGCTAGTATTACAAGTGTGAGCGAATGGTGCCTGACTCTCTCGCCACTTAATTCAGGCAGCCACCTCCCATGCCCCTTCCACAAGCTAGAGTCTGAAATAGGAGGATAGGCAGGATCATTACTGAACTGGGGATTCCATACCATTCAGGGATTCCCTTTCTTAGCTTCCCACCCTATCCCCACTGTCATGTTTCCCAGTCAGCAATAACTGAGGCTAATTTTGCCTAGGTTAGTGTGGGGACAGGGCAAGAAAGGAAGAGTAGCCCACCCAGCAAGCACTGCTTCTGGGGAGTACAGGCCCACTACATCTTGGGGGAATCTGACTCTGAAGATAAGGGATGTCACTATAACTGGGGGAAGGGTTGTGGATGAAAGTGAGGACTAAACAGCTACAGCTCACACGTTTGCCCCCATGTCTGGGCTGCATATCTGTGGCAGCCATCCCTGCCCTTGGGGAGAACTTGCCTCTGGTTTTCTTTCCATAAGTTCCTGTGCACAAAGCTTTGTGCCTCAGTGCCCCACTCATCTCCAAAGTGCTGTCTGTCATGGGGAGTTAAGGCTTGTCTCCCGGGTTTTTCTGCAGGGTCAAAATTGGTCCCTCAGGTCACACTCTGTGTGTGTGCGTGTGTGTATGTGTGTGTGTATGAGTGTACCGGTATCTAGGGCCTTGAACTAACTAGGGCTGTCCCTTAGCTTTTTATTCTCAAGGCTGGTGTTCTATACCACTCGGGCCACAAATCCACTTTCAGCTTTATTGGTGGATAATTAGAAATAAGAATCTCATGGACTTCCCTGTCTGGGCTGGCTTTCAAACTTTGATGGTCAGATCTCAGCCTCCTGAGTAGCTAGAATTACAGGCGTGAGCCGCAGGCATCAGTCACGAGAGGCTTTTTGTTGGGGGGGGGATGCTTTCTGTTCACTTGGATTTGTGCAGGTTACAAAGCATTATACCCTAGAATCTTCATGATTCTAGGAAGCACACAGGGCAGTCATCATCACCCACATCTTCATAGTGGAAAAAAAAAATGAGGTCAGGGCATTGATTACATTTTGATCTCAGTAGGGCATGGGTGTGAGGTCGCGATCAATGGCCTCTCCCCAGAGAACGCAGCGTGTCCTGCCACTTACCTGGCTTCAGGTGAGGCTCGGCCAAGGTGAAGTTCCCCTCCCCCCCCCTCCGGACCCCCCCCTCCCACCCCCAGCGCACACCCAGGCCGGGGCCAGGGTTTGCACCGTCCAACCCTCAAGCCGCCAACCCCAAACGTGAGCAACCCGGAGGTAGACCGTGCGCCCGGCGCCCCGCCGCCCGCGGGGAATGGCGCCCAGCCCCGGGGCCAATGAGAGTAGCGGAATGTCTTTCATTCAGCTTGGGGCCCGACTCCTGCCCGGAAAGGGGCGGGGCGCCGCGCCGAGGGTGGAGCCGCCGCACGCCAGGGGAGGGCGGGGCGGACTCCGCGGCCCGGCCAATCGGCGCCACGCCCGGGAGGGGGAGGGGGAGCCAGGCCTCTTCCCCCCCCCCCCCCCCTCCGCGCGGGACCAATCCCGACTTTACAAGCTTGAACTTTTGCCACCCTCGGACGAGCGAGCGCGCCCGAGGAGGTACCCCGCCGCGCCGGCTCCAGGGCAGGAGCGGCCTTAACCCTTCCCCCGCCAGGCGTCGGGCTGCCGCCTCCGCGCCCCCGACCTCACCCCCCCCCCAACCTCACCCTCCCTCCCCAACTCACTTCCATTTTCGTGGCGAATCCTTGCTCGGGGGAGCACGATCCCCTTACTCACACCCCTCTGGGAGGATCAGAGTAAATTGGGAGGAGGAAGCACCCAGCATTGACTCTCCCCGCCACCACCTCTGCGCAATCTTGCACGACCCCAGGGAGCTTTCGGGGAGACACTCCCCGCATCTACCCCACCCTCATCTCGGGCGAACCTGGAGGAACCCCCCCCCCCGCCACTGCAAGAAGCATCCCGTACCCAACGTTCGGCCCAGCAGGACGGCCCCCAATTCCGCTCAGGATGGGGGTGGGGGTGGGCTAGAGTCTTTGTGCGGCCGCAGAGGATCTCCAAACCTATCAGCCCCCCCCCATCCCCAGAGACGCAGGGCAGGAAGGCTCTCACGCACACCCAGTTTTTACTAGCTTGGACCAGGATGGGGGGGGGGATTTGGGCTGACCCTAAAGTATTTGCAAGTTTGTGATCGAGCCCGGGAAAGGCAAAAGCAGCCTCGAGTGTCGGGGGGGCAGTCGTGTCCGAGTGTGGTTTGTGCAGCCGTGTGTGTGTGTGTGTGTGTGTGTGTGTGTGTGTGTGTGTG